AGAGCCTTGTCTGGACTGGTCCCTCTGGAAGAAGGAGCTGTGAGGGGAGCCTGTGGCGTGTCAGCCGCAGGGCTCAGAAAACTTACCTACTGTCCCTTCCCACTGCCAGCACTCCTCAACCCGGGGCCTGGGGATCTGGGGGCGGAGCTGCCCTGGAGGGGGTGCAGAGTCTGGTCCGATGTCCTGGGTAAGCGCTGCGAGGTAGGAGCCCAAGGGGGAGGTGGTGGGTGAATCCGCCCTCATTTCCCTCCCCACCCCCATCCTTGTCTTTAATCATTAACAGCCCTGGAATTAAGGGTCTCAGACCTGAAGGCCTTTCTGTGCACCTTCGCTATAAACGATAACCATCTGTGCCTGAGCTAATGAGGCTGGAGGCTTTGCCTGTATCCTGTATAGGAAGTGGGACGGGGTGACAAATGTATTGTTTTTCCCACTCTTCACCCCTCATCCTCCCCCATACACATCCCTCATTTCCACTTTAATTCTCTGTGGCTGAGTGGCAATCCTGGTCCCCCCTATTCTTCCTTTATGATACTTAGTACCTTGGTTATCTCTTTTGAATTTGGTGTTCAATCTCTATCCCAGATCTTAACTGCATGCTTTGAAATACTTCAGTTACAGGCTGTCACATCAGAGTACCTCTCAATGTCTGGTGGCTCCCAATTATAATGAGCATTTTCTTTTATGAATGTTGGAATTGTTAAGCCCTTGCAAGGAATCCTAAATGGCATCATAGCCAAGGAATCAAGGTCTCTTGCTCTAAATACTTTATGTGTGAGGAATTTACATGTTGTCAACTCTTCCCAAAATGATTTGATGCTAGGCTAATTCTGGATTTCTGTGTTTCTCTCCACCCACTCTTCATGATGCACTTCAGAGAACAGAAAACCCCATATTACTTTTTTGTTTCTGCAGTTGGACAATAGCTCTTTTATCTTTTTCTCCGTTTGTGTGTGGCACACAAATCTTTAGTGACACATTCAGCTTGTGCTTATTTTCATCTTATTATTTAGCTGATTCTTTGTATATAGGTGGTCTTAATTGACACAATGTGATCTGTTTAGTTTGAATACAAAAAAGAATACAAACCAATAAAGAGTGTGAGAAAATTGTTTGAGGAAAGCAAAGAATGATTGGAAAGAGTCTTTGTTGATATGCTGTTTGGCTTAAAAAGAATCCACCAAGTAGCACTCCTCTAGGCTTTCATATGGATGTCAGAATGAAATATAATGAGTTTTGTTTTGGTGTTGATAAATTCTTTGGAAATCCTTTGTTGAATCTGAAACTATTTTCTGAAGAACTTTAGAGACAGTGCCTAAATTTTAGGGGTCCTTTGATACGAAGAGCCCATAAATCCTGTCCTCTGTAAGGGGCTTGCTATACATGTTGCTTGAATTATCATAATGGGTGTTCTGATGCTGGCAAGAGAGTCTCACCCTACTTACTAGGGCTTTTAGGCCTGATAAAACTTGATTGTACAAGTAACAGTATGTTTAGATGTTTCACAGAAATACAACAGAGGAAAGACTACTGTTCTCACCTTAGTTGATTTGGAACCAAGTTTGCCATTGAATAAAACTGGCTACTAAGTGCCAGCCAGTTTCAGGCAGTAGGTGTACAAAAGTGACACAAGCAAAACGGTCTGTCCCCCTGGGGAGCTTACATTGGAGTGGGGAGTGAGAACAGAGAGGCAAATAATAAATAAGCAAGTAAGTTAGATTTTGATTAGATTCTGAAAAAAAAAAAATAGGAGTGATCTGATAGAAAGTGTGATGCAGTCAAGGAAGACTTTTCCCAGGAGGTGACACATAAGTTGAATTTTAAATAAAAAGAAGGACCCAGCCAAGCAAAGATAAGGGGAGGAGCCTTTCAGGTTCTGAGAATAGGTAGTACAGAAACTGGCTGGAATAAGTTTAGCAAGTTCTAGGGACTGGGAAGAAAGGGATAGAGTGACGAGGGCATGGGTTAAAGAAACAAGGTCATAGAGGTAGAAGTGGGTTTCAGAATACATAGGCAAAATAAGAGCCAAAGGAGAAGGAAGTAGAAAGTGCTGCTGCTTTTTTATTCTGTTGCCTTTCCTAGGGTCTTACTTCTTAACTCTTTGCAGGTACTGTTAGACTATTGTAGTAAAAATAAGTCACCCTGCTGAGACTGGGAGAGGAGGAGGCAGTGATCACCTGGGTCTTTTCTGGCAAATAGAGCTCAAGTTATGTGTTCAAACTTAAGCAAGATATTCATTTGAGGGCACACCTTTTTCCTTAAAGTATTTTTTCTTATTATATGCTGCTATTTAAAATTGCGTAAGTCCTCTGTGTTCTAGTATGAATCCTCCTTTGCTTCCAGTGCTACATGAATTTAAGGTTGGAGGATTGGGCAAGTGTTAATAATATGCCCCTGTCAGACTACAAAGATGACCATCAGGATCTAAGTTTCAGGTTGTTCATTGTAGGGAAGCAGAGTTTCTGTTGCAGTAGTTCTACTCTTGTCTTGTCCGCCTTATGACTAATAACACTCAGCTGAGCGTAGGTTGGTGTTAAAAGTTCACTCAGGGATTTACATTAGATAAATGACCATTGTGGGGCTCCATTCCACTATGTCGGCATTTTGGGCTGGCTTGTAACCAAGGGATGTAACCTACTTTTGCCTTCTATTGGGGGCATTCATCTCTAATATTCTGCTGCTTTGCAGCCTCACCTTGACCAGATTGTCCACTTGAACTGCCCAGTCAAGAATCCTCCTTGATTTGACCCTCTTGAGCTATCTTTCAGTGGGCTGAAACAGAAAGAATATGCTTTTTTTCTTCTTTTGAACCCCACAACAGTGACTAGTGTGTTCTTTGAGTGAATTGGCTCTTTGAGCCAGGCAGTTGAGAGACTTAAATGTTGCTAGGGCTATTCGCTATAAACTCAGGATTAGAAATGCCAAATAAAACCTTTTAGTATTTGGGAAAAATGAATCAGAAATTGAGGACTTGTCACCTGCTTTAGGCACTAAAATTCTAGTAGCACCTGTAGATGGGTTGTTAAAATCACCTTGAATAGCACTTTCTGGACAGTCCTGGAATAATGAAGGGGAGGGAGCAGATCCTGGTACTGAATTACTGAATTCTGACTTGACTGCAAACAAAAAGTCTTTTAGTTAGAAAGCAAAGGACTAAAGTGAACAGCTAGGAACAGGCAAACAATAGACTCCACCTTCATACTTAGGAGTTTATCTCTAAGGAATGGAGCACTGATAAGGATGGAGATAACAGTGTGTATATATATACAGAGGGTGCCAAAAAATTGTATACACATTTTTTCTTTGTATACACATTTTAAGAAAGAAAAAATCACATTAAATTTGTAGTACTTAAGTCATGTTTGACTTCTGCAATTACAAGAGGTGCTCAACATGCCTTGTATTCATCTTTCGTTATCACCATGTATTAAGTGTTACAATTTTAATATAGTGTTTCCTTTGTTAAAAATGTGTGCATATTTTTTGGTGTACCCCTCTGTGTGTGTGTGTGTGTGTGTGTATGTGTGTGTATTTGTTTTTGGCCCAGGTTAAAGATTTTGGACTTAACTTTGTATGCTAATGCTGACCATAAAATGCTCTATCTGGTGGGTTATTAAGCTGTGCACTATTCATCTTCATTTCAATGGTTTATTATAACTCCAGTATGGAAATACCCTGTAGGCTGAAATATCAGCCAGTTTGGAGACTGGTGGTTCTTTTCTAATTTTTGAAAGGGGGTGGATGGGTAGGAGGGGACTTGAACACAGAGAGAAGCCATTGACACCTACGTTGGCCACTAATTGTATTTGGGGAAAGAATCTGCAGATTTAAGTGAGTTAGATTCTTGGAGCTGAGCTGGCCTTTTAATTTAAGATACAAGTGGATTTATTTCTCAAACTTTGTGAGGTTTTGGACAAAAATCTTCTGAAAGGCAGCAACCCAGAAAGCCAGTTGATGCCACTTGCTA